TTAGAAATGTAAAACATCTTGTTTCGGCTATAATCTTTCGAAAATTGAGTATCCAGTTTATTAGTTATAAAAAAGCTTAGCATTGAGTAGAACCGACTAAATGGTTTTAAGTCCTGCTAGCTGAAAACCTTTTTTAAACATTTACAAGTAAGCCAGTTGATGAAAGTCATTTGGAAATAAACCGCTGCTATATATGCTTGAAAGTTGAGCTATACTACAGTCGATACTATACTAATATACGTACGCTATACTTTACAGTCGAGCTATACAATCAAGATACTTGGTTATGCCAAGAACCAAAAATGTCTGTTCAATTTGAATAAATAAATTCAATAGTTTATATCCATTTGATAACAAAAAGGCCAATTCAAAGAACAACTCGCCCAGACCTGAATAAGGGGACCATTGTCGCCAGGAATATGCTTTGGAACTGAGCCACATTTATTACCTATTGTGAGGGTTCACCTCTCCTTTAGAGTTCTTTACTTGAACTAGTTGCTGATAATATGCTGTTCCTCGTTTTGTAAAAATATATTTATTTTGATTTTTGTCTGAATAGCTCTGATTTACGGACAAATTTCACATTGTTACATTGGTCATTTAATTTGAATTTCATGTCATTTAATAATGGGAGAGGTTATAGTTTGTATATACGTTTGACTGTCTTTGTTGTTGGATTATTATAGGAATATATATTTAGTATTTCCTCTCCCCCTAGAAACAAATAACAAATAATGAAAGGGGTCAGGTCTTATATGCTTCTAAAAATATCATGCATTATCAAAAACTGGAAGATAAAGGTAGCGTTGACTTAGAGTTCTGTGCTTCTTGGTAGTTACCAAAACGACTGTGAAAATAGCCTTCTGGTCTGTACTTGGAACGCATTTAAAAAATTAGGTGTGAGCCAGTATAGTACAAGTGTTAACTTTACTAAGAGAATTAAATGGTTGGCGCTAGTCGCGTATACCTTGTTAATGTAAGCAACAATTGTTCTGTGCTACGACATGAACCACACACTTTGATTGCACACTCTACTATTACTACAGGTGGTTTAATTCAATTACTACCAATAATTGGTTTGTTAAACGGTTTGCTCGTAAATCAATTTCGCAAACAAAACCAAACAAAACATTGAAACACTTAGACACAGAACGAACTCAAACACATGGTGTGATGGTTTAATCCTATTGCACTGAGTTAAATCGTTTTAGTAAGCCTGTATGTGACTTTTAAAGCCTTTCGACTATTACTGTTGAAATAATCACGTAAGAGTGGCAAACTTTAAAAATCGGTTATAAGCATTACAAAAAAAACTATACACTGTTTCGTCAAAATTACACCGTTGTTACGATATGGTTAAACACTGAAATATATTTACTAATAAATAAACCCCAACACAATTTACATAATTTGAGTTAAACATGGAAACCTTTACGTCTGTAGTTTAATAACCTTAACATTTATTTTCCTAAAGTCCCATATCAAAGCCAGGTAACCTGGATAATATGTCCGAATGCAAGAAATCACAATATTTAAGGCGCAAGGTGTAGAAATATGTTTGCAGAAAAATGTACTTACTTTACACTTACAAAAATGTTTTACACTTCAATCAAAAGTACTTTCATTTCTCGCTTTGCTCCACCAGAGAACATCAGTGAGCAATGAAGTATCAAATAGCAGTGTGTGTATCAAAGCCGTTCACTTTACAAGTATTTCAATTTATCTTGGCTTTTGAAAGGGACATTCACAGACTGATGATTGAAATTTGGTTCCGTGGATATTCTTTTTGTTCCATTCCTTCTTTGGTAACGTTTTCAAAAATAAATTTACTGCAAATATACACAGCTCATTGGTATTCTGAATTGAAAGACTAAAGGGTACCTAAAAATTTTTCTAGTTTCTAACTTTACTTTTACAAAAGTCTATAGTCAATTTACTAACTAATATCGATACCAGTCTGCATTCTTTGGATGAGTAACTAATAATGGGGTTATAGTAAGATTTCTTAGGTACTAGCAGTTGAAATACTTTATTGTTTTTGAGACGTAAGGTTTATTTTAATTAACAATTGGTTTCTTATTTGCAAACAATAGTATATGTCATCACTAAGACATAAGGTGACTCTTTCGACCATAGCTTAAGTTTCACGATCGAGATGATCGAGACTCTTTTTACCCGTTCTATGAACTATATTTTTCGTCATATTATACCAATTTTAAGTTAACATTATTACAAAAAGACAATACCTATCATGCAAAGATAACCACTCAAAATGACTTCCAATGTGTTTTCAATAATTTGCTAACGCAAACAAGCGGATGATTAATAAGTGATTCAATAATTTGGTCTATTACGATTGTTAACATTATACAATCAATATATCGAACAATTGACAAGAAAGAAAAAAATTGCCTATGAAAGATTAAATCAATATAAACATCGTTTCGATCCAAACGATTGCTGACAATCTAAGTTTAGTGGGTTTACAACAGCTGATTTTTACTCGTTACGGACTAGCCTTTTACTTTCTAGGGAGTAAAAATGCTACTTTAGACGCATACTACTGTGAAAACGATTGTTTTTGCTACAGCATGACGAAAAATCCTTTATATACTAAACAATGTTGACTTTGTTTTACAAACAAATATGTCATATTAATTGATTTTGGAAAAAATATTAACACTAATATAAATAAATTGTTATTCCATAACACATTTGGTTTGAATATATATCTGCACTTTTGCAACAAGCACCCTAAAATCTCCTGAAAAAGCCGGAAAATATCCTTGAGGTGTTTCGGTTTGATTTTATCAGGAAGTAGGTGGAACATGTTAAGCCTATCTCCTGCGACATTTCTCTTCAGCCTTTAGACTGTCAGGTTTCCAATCAGATTTTGACTGAATCTGATTCATTCTGTCCAATTATCCTGTCCATTGGACACGTTGTGCGCCAAGCTTAACCCATCCAGGTTATCTCAACCCTCTTAGGGTTCGACAATCATTAAATCTTATTTGGCTTTAGAACTAATTGTAATTTTATTTTTATTTTCAATACTTCGACTAATATATTCAATTCAAATCGTTCAGTGGATGCATACATACATATATACTTCCTCTTTTATAGTTTTTTTTTTTAGATTTAGATATAGATTTACGATTTTCAACATATATAAAAAAATGACTGTACCTACGCTACCATTGCTTCAAGAAGCAAGGACTTCACATTTAGGGTGCGTATGGAATATTTTGATTAGTTGCTCATAATTTCTACCTAAAAGCTACTCATAAAATTAAACGGTTTATGTTTGCTTACAAATACGGACTGAACCCTTAATTTTCGGAGCTTTTGCGTGGAGTTTTTTGATAAAGAATGGGACGTGTAAGTGCCCATGAAACCAATAATCAGTAAATACTGTATTTGAAGTACAGTTCAAGAGCCTATTCTAATAAAATTTTGCAAGAAACTTAACTGACATTTATTATCAAACGTACACAATGGGATTTACGACATACTAAATGCCTGGATAGTGATTAAAAATAGATCAAAGTTTAAGTGCTTTCTACACGAATTTTAATCCCCAATGAACTCAAACATATGTCGAACGTTTGTGGTTGAATGCTGGTTTAATGACATTTTGAATACCCGGGTACGATGAATGCCTGATGTTTTAGCAATCGGATGCTTCAGATTAGAAATCAAACGTTGAATCAATCAAGCATTAAAATCAAATCATCCTCAAATACCATCACATGCATACATCGTGGTCAAGCGATTCCACAATTACTTTTAGCCATACTTTAATCTGGACATATCTAGCAAGATTAATAGTATGGTTGGGTGTAAGTTATCACGTCCGTTTCAAGTGAATTATTTGTCAATTCAATGAATGTATTTAGCATAAACATCAGTACTTTTTCATGGTTAATGATTATTTTATTTGAAAAAAAAAAAAATGGTTAGGCCCTAAGTGGGAGAAAATTGTTTACCTTAAAATCTGAAAATAAAACCAATTTATTTAAATAGAAGAAAAGCGCTTGGTAAGTCTATCTGATCTATGGTAAGGTATAAACACGATCTCTCGCTCGCTCTGAGCAAAACTGAGATCGTGATTCTGACCAAGAAGAGATTTAACACAGGAGACATGGGAAAGCTGAACAAGCACTGATTAAGGAAGTCCTAGACTTTGTAAATTTGGGGGGGGATGTTGATTATAACCTCATCCAGTTTCTTACAGATCACGGCTATTTTTTAACTTACCTTTTCAGGATGGACAAGGCCGTGTCACCATATTGCATCCACTGCCCTTGAACCCCCGAAGACGAACACACTTTTGCCTTCTGTGCCTTGGGAAAGACCCCGCTTTAGAAGTTTTATCATTTAGGACTGTTATCAGTGGACTGTGGGGGTAATCCCAATGATGACGGAGGTTAAGAATGATTGTTTGTCACAGTACGTTCAGGGAATTCTCCAAGCTAAGAGTTGTGACCTTAAATGGGATATGGTTTAAGTAATAAAATAATTAAATATCAGAAATAGCGCAAATCCTGAGGGCTTAGGACATTCGTTGACCTGACCTGAAGTAATGTGACACACAATACCTGGTCTGTGCCAAAAATCAGAGGAGATGGTTATTTCAGTAAATTGTCTGATCAGTTGTGAAACTAAACCAATTCAAAAAGTAATAATATTTATTAATAAATAGTTAGTACAAAATCTAGACATGATTTTAACAACAAAGTAGAAATTCAAGTTTTCAAGTGTTTAATAAAACTATATGAGGAATTTCATAAAGTAAGTTCTAGGATCCAATAGGACGCAAAACAAGCGGTCTAGTCATGCAATACTAAAACAGTTCTGGAAATAACGTACCTTTTTCAGAGGGCCTCATCTGGCCCTATGCATATTACGTTTCATTTACATACAAAATGTAGCACCCACAAAAATACATAAGACCAAAAAATACTTTACAATAGGTACATAAATAGTATGATTTGTTCCAGAAAATCATTATCAATGGGAGGAGAGACAGCCTAGCAATTTACCCGTCATTGTTTTCATCCATGGGGAGAGCTTTGAGTGGAACTCCGGTAACCTGTACGATGGAAGTGTGTTGGCAAGCTACGGCAAGGTGGTGGTTGTGACTATCAACTTTCGTCTTGGCATACTTGGTTAGTTTAGAATAACAATGCACGTAAATATAGTCTCTAATGCTGATTGAGAAGTCGCAAGATATAATAATGGATGGCAAATAATTATTTTCTTTATCATGTTAAAATCGGTAGAATATTCATGTTAAAATCAATTTGAATTTTTGAGTCAATTTGAATTGAATAAACACAGAACGATTAATATCTCAGTATGTTGGAGATATATACTGTTTTAATGATAAAACTACACTTTTTAATAATCACAGCTTGGTTTTAAATATACCAAAATAGCAAATATTTTATGACAATATTGGGTATGTAAAAATAATTATTTACATGCCCGAAGTTTTGAATCCTACAATATTTCGTAAAAAGTAGAAGATAAAGCTATATACAATTATCATAAAGACGAATTAGGTTTTTATGATGTCCCTGTTTACTATGAAAGCGATTTAGTTGAAAACATTTTCTAGGTTTCCTGAAGCCGGGAGTGAGTGACCACGTGCCCAGCAACTTTGGCCTGTTTGACCAGGTGGCGGCGCTAGAGTGGGTCAGAGTGAACATTGCTAAGTTCGGAGGGGATCCTCGCAGTGTGACTCTCATGGGACATGGTACAGGCGCCGCCTGCGTCAGCTATCTCATGATCTCACCTCTGGCACAAGCTGAGGGCAATCGAGGTATGGAACAAGCAGTAGTCGTACTTAGTGATTAAGTTTGGAGGAGATCCGCGAAGTGTGACTCTCATGGGACATGGTACAGGCGCCGCCTGCGTCAGCTATCTCATGATCTCACCTCTGGCACAAGCTGAGGGCAATCGAGGTATGGAACAAGTAGAAGTCATACGTAGTGGTTTAGCTATCTCATGATCTCACCTCTGGCACAAGCTGAGGACAATCGAGGTATGGAACAAGCAGTAGTCGTACTTAGTGGTTAAGTTTGGAGGAGATCCGCGAAGTGTGACCCTCATGGGACATGGTACAGGCGCCGCCTGCGTCAGCTATCTCATGATCTCACCTCTGGCACAAGCTGAGGACAATCGAGGTATGGAACAAGCAGTAGTCGTACTTAGTGGTTAAGTTTGGAGGAGATCCGCGAAGTGTGACCCTCATGGGACATGGTACAGTCGCCGCCTGCGTCAGCTATCTCATGATCTCACCTCTGGCACAAGCTGAGGACAATCGAGGTATGGAACAAGCAGTAGTCGTACTTAGTGGTTAAGTTTGGGGGAGATACGCGAAGTGTGACCCTCATGGGACATGGTACAGGCGCCGCCTGCGTCAGCTATCTCATGATCTCACCTCTGGCACAAGCTGAGGGCAATCGAGGTATGGAACAAGCAGTAGTCGTACTTAGTGGTTAAGTTTGGAGGAGATCCGCGAAGTGTGACTCTCATGGGACATGGTACAGGCGCCGCCTGCGTCAGCTATCTCATGATCTCACCTCTGGCACAAGCTGAGGGCAATCGAGGTATGGAACAAGTAGAAGTCATACGTAGTGGTTTAGCTATCTCATGATCTCACCTCTGGCACAAGCTGAGGACAATCGAGGTATGGAACAAGCAGTAGTCGTACTTAGTGGTTAAGTTTGGAGGAGATCCTCAGAGTGTGACTCTCATGGGACATGGTACAGGCGCCGCCTGCGTCAGCTATCTCATGATCTCACCTCTGGCACAAGCTGAGGACAATCGAGGTATGGAACAAGTAGAAGTCATACGTAGTGGTTTAGCTATCTCATGATCTCACCTCTGGCACAAGCTGAGGGCAATCGAGGTATGGAACAAGCAGTAGTCGTACTTAGTGGTTAAGTTTGGAGGAGATCCGCGAAGTGTGACCCTCATGGGACATGGTACAGGCGCCGCCTGTGTCAGCTATCTCATGATCTCACCTCTGGCACAAGCTGAGGGCAATCGAGGTATGGAACAAGCAGTAGTCGTACTTAGTGGTTAAGTTTGGAGGAGATCCGTGAAGTGTGACTCTCATGGGACATAGTACAGGCGCCACCTGCGTCAGCTATCTCATGAGCTCACCTCTGGCACAAGCTGAGGGCAATCGAGGTATGGAACAAGCAGTAGTCGTACATAATGGTTAAGTTTGGAGGAGATCTGCGAAGTGTGACTCTCATGGGACATGGTACAGGCGCCACCTGTGTCAGCTATCTTATGATTTCATCTCTGGCACAAGCTGAGGGCAATCGAGGTATGGAACAAGCAGTAGTCGTACTTAGTGGTTAAGTTTGGGGGAGATACGCAAAGTGTGACCTCATTGGACTGGTATAGGAGCCACTCAGCTATCTCATGATCTCACCTCTGGCACAAGCTGAAGGCAATAAAGGTATGGAACAAATAGTAGTCATACGTAGTGGTTAGGTTCAGGGAAGATCCTCGGAGTGTAGTATAATAGCATAATAAAACAGGCCATATAAAGCCCATGATACGACACACACAAGACAAGACAATTTAAATGTAGAAAATGTCAAGGCACAGAGAGTCAATTTTATGTGAAACGCAAAACCAATTTAAAGCTCAGAGTATCTGTCGAAATAGTTTCCGAGAAATTCTCCGTTTTACCAAAAGAACGCATCCTTTCAAAGATAGCACTGAGCGTGTATTTCCAGCTTACATTGCTAAAGTAAGCATTGCTAATATTGACATTCATATCTATGTCAACCTTTATAATACGTTTAAACAAATATTTTGTTTTCCCTTAAATGTTTTATACCGGTAAATTTATACCAGAAGTTATTACCAAACTTTTTTCGTTGATAGTAATAAACCTCAATTGCGGATGTAGGTAGCATGTAGGAAATCGTCGTAAATTCATATTATGTTATGGCGTAAGCTATGACATGCTAGGGATTATTAATGTTTTTATACAATACCATATTTTAGAGAACACTTTACGCCTCTATAAATCAATTTAAGGTATTCTCTTGAGAGCTTTGTGAAATTGGAAAACACACCATACTGGGCGTCAGAAAAATATATAGCGGACTTTGCGGAGCCAGGTTCTCCATATTTTTAAGTAAAAAATTTGCCTCAAAAATGTTTATCCCGATGAATTTTCTATTTTTAACCAATCCGTCATTTGGTAACTTTGCAAACAATTAATAACTCAAATCCCCTTGGTTATGTATCGTGTAACTGGGTATAGGCTACACCTTAAGGTAGTTTTTTTTTATCAAAATACAAAAAATTTTTATAAAACTTCGAACATTTAAAAATAGTGTCAATTGAAAAACTTAAAAGTTAAAATAACATTAAACGAGTTAGTACAAAAACTAAATTGATAAATTTAATTAAATTGAAAGTATTTATTAAAAAAATACGATGAAACTTAAATTTGAAATACCCTGTTAATAAATATAAATTGGTATGCGACTATTTAAAAAATTTAATGTCATATTACATACTACTTAGCCTAGTTACTTCAGCTTATTTTAAGAACTCTTTGCATGTTTAAATCCTCTGAGCTGATCAAATAAGTTGCCAAACACAATGTATGGCTTTTAGAATTATTTACAAAATCTGACTTATTTAAAAAAGCAAAATTAATAACATAATACCGGAAAGAGGAAGTTAGTATTTTGCTATTATGAAATAAAAAAATAAAAAAATAAAAATAAAAACAGTAACAAAATGAACAATTATTATTGAAGACCACGTGATAGGCTAAAACCTATTTTTGTAAGTGACTCGTTATTAGCCAGATACTTATAGTTAATTATAGTTTCGTTTACTGAAATAAGTCATAAGAAATTTGTAAAACTGTGTTTAGTCTATTATGGGTTTTCTTAAGCTTTGTAAATTTGTTCTTCTTATATTCAAGTATTGACATTTTACTTCGTTCAATATTATATATGTCCACCACAAACCATTTTTTCGTGAAAATCAAGACTACATCCATTCATCTCTAACTAAAAGATAAGAGTAACTATATTTATATTTTTCAGGGGGGTTGTTCAAGCGGGCTATTCTGATGAGTGGGACTGCATTGTCCGACTGGGCACTTACCTCTAACCCAGTCCAGGCCACTATCCAGGTCGCCCAGGCTCTGAACTGCCCGGATTCCCAGGATGCCATGGCCAGCTGCCTTCGTAGGAAGCGCCTGCACGAGCTCACCTCCGTCACAGTTCATGTGCCACCCTTCAAGACTAGATTCGGCCCCGTGGTAGACGGCCAGGTCATCCCTAATGACCCCTCTCTCATCATGAGCGAGTACAAGAATCTGTTCCAACAGTGGGTATATTATGTATCAAATTTACCAAATTTATTTTAAGTTTTTAAGGGTTTTCAAAACATGTCCATTATATTACACTAGCAAAGAACCCGTTCTTAGTACGGGGTTGGAGTATAAGTATAAAATGCGTATTTCAGCTATACTCGAGCAGAGAAAAGAAATGATTTTTGAGATAAGAATATGCCTATATGTTAATCGGGAATGTGAGTTATCATCATGCCAAATTTCAGCCCAATCGGTCCATTAGTTAATGCACGATTGAACTTCAAACAAACAAACAAACATACATACAAATAAACAAACAAACAAAGAAACTTTCACATTTATAATATTATAAGATAAGATTATGTATTATGCATTTCGTAGGTATGTATGCATGAATCGTATGGGGCGTAGTGAAACTGCCCCGACGTTTTGGGTACTTTTGAAACGATGAAACTGCCCCGCTCATTAAAAAGGATTAGCAAGGGTCGCCTCGCAAGACTAGAAATGCTGAAACCGCCCCGAGCACCCGGCAAGGTAGTCGCTACAGGAATGGGGATAAAAGGGAATTATTTTTGTCCCTGTGTCCTGTCAGTGACTGCAGTCTTCTAAGTTCTTCTGCAGTTAACTGCCGTCTACTGCTTTTCCTACCAAGCCAATTGTTTCTGTACCAATACCTAACCCAACCTAAACTAACCTAACTTAACCTAACCTAACCCAACCTAACCTAACCTAACCTAACCTTAAAAAGCTAGAAATTCCTGATATTGGTGGTAGTTATTAGAAGAATGCAGTCACTGATAGAACGCAGGGACAACAATAATTCCCTCTTTTTTGTTTCTGTACCAATACCTAACCTAAAATCAGCTAGTAGGGTAATTCCTGATATTGGTGGTAGTTATTAGAAGACTGCAGTCACTGACATAACGTAGGGACAACAAAAATTACCTTTTCCCCAGACCCGGCCGAGTACCGATTGTACCTGGCCGGGCGCTCGGGGCGATTTCAGAATTTCTGGTATGGCGGGGTGACCCTTCTTAATACTCTGTAATGAGCGGGGCAGTTTCATCATTTAAAACTGACCTAAAATATCGGGGCAGTTTCATCGTCCCCATCGTATGTACCTATCGGCATATTTGGAAATATTAAGAAACTAATTCAGAGCATTAATTCACCAGTAGTACCTGTATTTAAGAATTTACTTGGCTTAAAACGTTCATAAAATATTCTTAACATGCTTTAAGAAAAAGTTAAATTATTAAAACTAATCGTAGTATGAAAATACAAAAATAATTTTTTTCTTGCTCCGTTGGCATTTTTACATTAGGAATGGAAGGAGGAAGTACTTTAGAATTCCAAATCCATGTTGTGGAAGTGGCGGTAAACGAACCTTTCTCTCCCGCACCGAAGTCCGAGATGCTAACCACTTGCTAGCAACACCCAAAGTTTTAAGGGTTCTTATAATTTTTTTTAATTCGCTGTGCCTCAATGACTACAGTGTTCCTTATTAAAGTGTATGATCATATTACATATTTATTTTTGAAAAACAAAACACAGTTAATGGTGGTTTGGATCCAAAGTTTTTTCTTTATTATTGTATTGCTGAATCATATGTACCTATCGGCACATTTTTGAAATATTGAGACATTAATTTAGAGCGTAAGGATACTAAAGTATGTTTCCTTTATGTTTTAGGTACGACCTAATGGGAGGCCTGACAGAGATGGAAAGCTATTATCTTCTAAACGATGTAGAACTTGTACATGGAATGATTGAAAACGAGTTCTACGAGAAACTGGATGAATATCTTAATGCCAAGTTCGAGGTAAACACAAAAATAGTCAAATATATTTCATTTTGTGGACCAATAGTTCATTACTGTAATATATTTGTAGATTGTCTCATTTTTAATTAGTGACATTTTGTATGAGTATTGAATTTACTGACATAATAAAAAACATTATTTAATGTAAGGGATGACGCTACGTTAGTAAATTTACGTCCAAATGGACCTGATTTTTAGAGCTGTACATTTGATATACATTCGGATGTAGTGTTTTGTTGTTGTTATTTTCTATAGGAAAACTGTATTCAATAACATTTTACGTTTGAAACTCTTCAACGGTGGGTCTAGGTTACGTAAAGGAATTTCACTAATGTGCTCTAAAATATAAATCTATAACTTTTTTCATATTGCTGAGTAGGCCAAGGTTGGTCTAGTGGTTAGGGCTGCGACGTTTTCCCTGGATACCATGTTTCATCAATCCAACCATATAACATAAACAGCCTTTAGCAAGGTAATGAAACGATAAATTAGTGTTTCAACACTTATATTCAGAGCCCTTAATAAGTATTTGTGGCTTTGTTTAAGAGAACCCCATTCGTCAAAATCGAGATCGGATGGTGTCTTCATGTATATCTATTTCAAATTTTCTTCTCAAATTGTTTTGATTCTGTCCTCTTCAAATGTTTATACATGAACAACTCTATTATAATATATATTGACACCATACTACATTGGTATATCTAGCTAGTAAGGACAATCTTCTAGGAATTCATTCCCTTAAAATAATTCAATTTGAGCTTCCAAAAAACATAAAATAAGTATTAACTACAAGATGTGTAAGCAAGTCATTTTAATGTCGCTCCAGAAACAGCCGGAATTGGCTAAAAGTAAGACCATCTACTACTACCGGACCTGGGAGAAAGCTTCCTCTCTCTCGGCTGCCGAGAGTCACCGCAACACCCTCCTGGAGATTCTCAGTGATGCTCGGGTCGCCGCCCCCATCGTCCGCACCATGGACCTCCACTCTGACGTCAATGGCAAGTCGTACTTCTATGTCTTCAAGCATCTCACCAAGTACGCTGACCTACATCCTTGGGTAAGTACAGGCCTTACAAAGCTTATAGAAATGCCGTTCTTCGAATATTTTATAGGGACTAAAGGATTCATGTCTAATGATTTTTCAAATATTTGTGTTTTGATGAATGTCTGAAATATGACAGTAAGAAATCCTAAATACCTTGAAGTAATTTATTTAATATGAATATAATTTTCGTTGCTCTACTTAAATATTTTACAGAATAACACACATGGATATTAAATATTATAAATAGATTGCGTGAATTTACGGAATGGGAAGTAATTCATTAAGAATATCCTGTTTTCTAATACGACCTATGTCTGTTTATCTGTCTGTCTGTCTGTCTGTCTGTAATATATATCTCGAAATCCAGCGGAAGGGATTTGAATAAATTTTAGAATCAGGAACATTTAGTCCTAAAAATTAGTGATAGCCACTACTTCAGGAAAATTCTAATTTCTGTACAGAACTCATTTCAAAATTTCAAAATTTAACATTGGCCTTTTAGGTTGCAAAGTAACTATCATGGTTGAACGAAATAATTAGGGAAAAGTAGGCAAAGGAATTGTCACGTGTGTTTATAACATGTCATCCACAGTACACTATCAAATAACAAAATACAGTACAAAAGAATAAAATCGTCAGTTGTAACTATTAAGCAAATAATACACTGAAGATTATTCGATATAGGGGAAAATAGTGTCTATCAAATACTGATTATTTTACTTAGCCGTATCTCACCAAAACTTAATCCCCGAAGTACTGAGGCATACGAAATAAACTACATACAGGGGGTTTAATTTGGCATAAAACTATTACCTAATGCTAAATCGCAATGGAAAGATCAGAAAGAATCTCAATTTCTTAAGAAGTAGTAGCGAAAAAGTGAAAAATCGATGTCACAAGCCGTTTTGGAAATAAAATTATTTTGTTTTTACCCTGTTTTTATCTGCTGTCATTAATGAGCGTAAAAGTCGAACCACGTTTAATTGACTATAGGGGAGAATAATTCTGTGCAAGAAGCACTTAAACATGATCATAAAAGTGCATATTATTTTCGTTTAGTTGCATACTTTTAAATTACAGAATTGTTATTACTTGAGTGATCAAATGTCTATCGTTTGTAATAAAATGGTTTCCGTAACTTATAAAATGTCTGTTTACGATATTGTTTTATACAAAATTGTAAACTCAATTAAATATTCATATAACAAAATCTAAAGGCCTAGCAAAATCTTTCAAATAACTTTTATATATAAATGTCGGTCAGTAGAAATATCAATGGTGTTATTGAGAGGTCACATTAAGAGTAAGTATTACGATAAAAGCAGTGTTATGTGACTATTATGTGCCCCATACTGCTCTTCTATTATTGTAAGCCAAGCATGTTTTTAGACATAACAGTACAACTTGGTGATTGTTATAGATTGTTATTGCTATTGTTATTGTAGTTATTCTTCTAGAGACCTTTCTTTTTGGGCTAAGATTGCTCTAATTAAATATTGAAAGTCATCCTTTAACGAAGAAAAAAAATAAACACAACAATTTAAGAATAATACATTAGTTTGGGAGAAAAATCAATATTAATTGTAAATTTTATTTTTGGATACGTTTTTAATTTAAAATACGCTTTTAGCAGTACAAATTATTAACTGCGTACCTTCTCACCCTCAAGAGATTTACAGTTTTTTTTTTAAATTCTTTTCCCGTTAAAAGCAAATAGTCCTATTTGGCTTAAGAGTACATATAGCTTAGGGATTAAGACTGAGTCAATTTCATTGGCGATTTAACTGCTAAATGTTAAACGATCCAAACTTTCATATTTAATTGACACATGTTTTTCCAGATTCAACAGTCAGTGCAGGGCGAGGAGTTGCCATATGTGTTTGGAGTTCCTCTAGAACCCAGGAGCTCTCACTTAGACAACAACTACAGCCAACAAGAGAAACTACTGTCTGAGGTGGTCATGACGCTTTGGACCAACTTTGCTAAGACTGGGTAAAAGTTAGAATTAATTACTTAGCAAACACCCTATTTCTGGTCACCTGAAAAAGTGGCATACTTACCAAAAAGTATTTTTTAGGTTCTTGTTTCGGTAATATTGAGTTAAGTTTTCTGGTACAACCCATAAAAGAAATGGATAATGGAGATAAATTGAGATGGATAATTTAAGTGGATTTCTCTTGCTGATGAAAAAAAAAAATTGGCACCATTCTGTAATAATTTGAGATAGAAACCTCTTACATTCACCAGTGTTCTTTTCGTCTGATTTAATACGAGGTGTCACTTGACGGAACTTTATGTTTAACATCTTTGTACTTCCTCTAATACAACAATAGTGGTATTCCACTAGTAGTGGATAGTGGATAGTGGTGTTCCAAAAGTGGGATGCCAACAAAAATGTGTGCTGTATTTTTTCCAAACCTTGCATATGTAATAGCTTCCCCCAAAACCAAACTAAGTGCTACAAAATAATAATACTGTGTGCAATAGCTAACTCGAAGTTTGTTTCAGGAGTCCAAATGCTCCTAGAAAACACAACTTCCAGACTCAAAGCCATCGAGAGTGGAGACAGTACGATTTAGAGTGGCCTGAGTACGATGCTATGAACCAGAGATATTACAGCATAGGTACGCCTATATTTATTTAGCAACTTAGAAACCAGATTTTTGAGTTCGTTAAAAATTCCAGCCAAACAATTAGAAAAGTCTATGTTTCAACTTAGCTCTACGTACAAGATTTTTGAGTTGTTAGTTATTGCATCTACAAATAAACTAAACAGTTATATCATACATTTAAACCAATATACAAGTATTATCTATTATCAATTTGTTTTGTATATCCATTCATATAGTTTTTCACTACTAGCCAATACTTAAAAAATAACCAAGATATTTGAAGGATATTTGATTATTTATAAAATAAATAGATAACATTAGTTACATTATATAGCATGAAAATACTAATTATGTATATCTTTATTTTTAGAGATTCCCCCGTCTATCAAGCAATACTACAGACAGCGGCAAATGGTCTTCTGGAATCACGACCTTCCCATTACTCTCAATAACTCTAACTTCCCCTACCGGCCGACACCTCCCCCGTGGCTGTCTCCTGGAGTTGACCAGCATGATATCCATCGACCTCCACAAGGCACGGACACAAACCATCCTCCACCTCCACGGACTATCTACCACGCGGTCACTGTCATTCCACCACGAGAGCCACCGGTAGACGACCCTGTTACCTACAAAGGGCCCGACCAACGACCTGACGATGGTAGCTCCCACCTGAACGCAATGGCGTCTTCTGTGACTCTTAGTATCGTTATATTTGTCGGAATATGCTTTCTCCTTGTAAACATGTGCGCGTTTATAGGACTCTACTACCAGAGAGACAGATTAAAAGTGAGAGAGAGAATAGTGAACACACGTTACCGGTGTGTGAACGCAGGAAATGAAGAAGAGGACGCCGGAGACCATTATATGAAAAGTGATTCGAACGACAGAGCGTCGGAATCAAGGGATTTGAAAAATATTGAAATAAAAAGTATTTTGAAAAGTAGTGAAGGTCTTTATGAACAAGTGAAACCAGAGAGTCTAAAGACAGCAAGTGTAGGAAAAGGAGGAAGAAGAATAGCGATATCTAGACAAGCCAGCAGTAGCACGGTAACAATTGATCCTCATACGAAAGTGAAAGAATGGATTGCTCAAGAAATTGTGCAAAGATGTTCACCAAGATTTCTTAGAAAACCTAAGAAACCAGACTTTAAATCTGGCAGTTGTGACACCTATGCTGATCAGACGGATCAAATGTCTAACAAAACTTTAGATTCTAATGGTTCCAAACTTGGGAGTCTTATGGCTCTGCAAAAGAAAAACGTTAAAAAGGTGTCGGTAGCAATTGATGCAACTCCAGCAACACGATCAGCGAGTATATTGCAGCAGACGCCAATTGAGTTGACTAAGTCAATGGACGAAGGACTGGTTCTCAGCAGCTTATCACCTGCTCCAGAAAAAGAAAGTATGAAACCTGCCACGTCATTGATCACTATTTTAAAGAGGCCATCTCTGCAGCGGTCTGATGCCTTAAACTCAGACGAGTCTATCAATGAAGGAAAAGAACCGTTACGAAGAAGTACAAGTATAAACTTGCAGCTATCAACTGCTTCGGATTTGCCACAAATCACTCATTTTCACTCTAAATCAGACCCGGTGACAAGCTCATCCATCCCGAAACTATTTGACATTTATCTTTCACCAGAGAAAGGTCCCTGTGACGTTTTGTACAGTACCGTCCAAAAGAAAAGACCACCTGATTCTGTGGGCAAACCCATTAGGGATATAAATGTTACGTCGAGAGACGATTTACAATCAACCTCAGAATTGTCAGCCGAAGAAGCTCTAGATAACATCAAGAGGAGAAATTACCCGAAAGTTTTACCAGACTATCCAGATGAGGAAGATTTTCACTTACAAAAAGCGACCAAGAGGCGGTCATTACCTTTGAGTGCCCAAATATCTCATGATCCGGGAGGGACTGATGATGGTTCAAGAGATGCTCAGTTCGCTCTGAAAGTTCCACCACCACCCCCTCCAAGAGTTTCAACACTTGGGAGAAAGCCCTCTAATACATCTCCCGTCGCTGCCTTTAACTCTTCACAAATGACTGTGAAATTAAAACCTAATGAAAGTAACGTTCCTCTAGCACTAAGACATCCTTCGGTTCCACAACTAAGTTCACCCATACGACCTGCAACTAATCCAACTACACACTCCCAAATTAAAAGGGTAGAACCCAGGGTTATAATTAAACCAACTATGAACCCTATAACGAGTAAAAAGGACGCTAAAGGACCTTCTAATATACCTAGAGTAACGCCTCCACAACCAATGACTTTTGGGTCAAAAGATACGACGACGAGACCCACAACGTCGACTCCAGCGCCTTCAAAAATACCTGAAATGGGAATGGGAAGGAAAGCTAAAATAACTCCAGTAAAAAAGACAGTATCCACAGAAACGACGGATACAAGCACTAGTGCATCGAACACAGGGACAATTAAAAGACTAAATAAGTAACACGCCGCATTTACGTATATTTGCTTTAGTAATCCAATACCTCATATGATTTTGTAATGTTTTATGTCAAATGTCTTTTTTCAATAAAATATAGTTTTAATGTAACTTAATATGGTTGTATATTGATTAGGTTTCTGCTCACCACACAAACTAATATAATGTTTATCAAAATTCAACCCCTCAAAACTGAACCTATTTTTACTTTCCATAATTTAAAATTTTTCATTGCACAATAATGAATTTTATTTTGATCCATATCTTGTGAATGTTTATTGTTGAGTATTTAAAGATGCAACTAAACACCACCTGATGGGTTGAAAACTAAGCTGTACATAAAGTAAGCTTATACAAATTCAGGTAAAGCATGGTGCACTTTCACTGATACAAATATCAAAATCTAAATCTTCAAATGATTTGTATATTTATGTAACAGTATCGAATACAATTAAACAGTATGTGTGACTTCTGTAAGGGGTTAAATCATCTTTACCCATACAATAATATCATAGAATTTAAATACATGAGGTACAACAAGCTCATAGAGTTTAACTATATTATACAAAGCGATAATCAAGCCAAATAAATATTTTTTACTATTTAATTACTCTATGAAGTCAAATATTTTTTTTACATAAAATGAAAACAAATAATAATTTTAATTAGTTTTAAAAGAGTATTAAAATTCATCCCTGTGATTTTATTTTGTAAACATTATGTCAAAAATATATCATCTAATAGAAACGTGAACCCTATCTTAACAGATTACCGGGAAGTTAACATAAAACCTTTATGAAACCAAATTAAAATGCCTCTTTTCTCGAGTGCTTCTCAGTACAATACTGGTTTACAGAATCACTCACGTAACTAAAACTAAGTATTAGGTCATCTTTGTAAAAAATTATGTATATGAACAAATATATAACAAAAATTACAAGCTTTTTTTACAATGCATTTTGACCTCTTTTTGAAAGCTAAGGCCGAAAGGCTTTTAAACTGATAGGGGAGGTTGTTGTTAAAGGTTGGGCCAAAATAGGAGAGCCCCTCCTCCCTATATCCAATGAACTTTTTGAAAGTGGGGGATGGTGTCTTGCCTAGTGCCCCGTCGAGCAATTGCTCTACACAAGTCCCTTCATCTTAATTGATCATGTATAGATTCCTGATCCGATGGTGTATATTCCTCATTCGGTAAGCGCACATAAATGGTGGTATGTTTGTTAAGAAATATAAGCATTATAAATTCTCTGGTTGTTTTAATGACTTGTCTGAATTTTAAAAACTATACAAATCTCTGGTCTACAAACAGCCCCATATTTTGATAGTCAAAAAATAATTGCAACGGAGAGTGATCAATGTCCGTGGTAATATGTTGCTTAGTAGTGGTTTTTATTGTGCAACAAATTTGCAAACAAATTTGCTTTATTTTGGCAAGTACGCAAACAGCCATGCCCCATAGATGATATTTTTTAAATGAAATTAGTAAAATTACAACCACAGAGTTACAATACACACAGAGTAGGAGTGTTACAATGATTTTGTTACCAGCCTAATGGTAGATGGTCTTTATTTTGGTAATGGCAATTTTTGATGTTTTGATGATGTGTCTGATGATGCCAGCATAGCTGGCGAAAGGCCTTATAGAATTAAAATCTTTTTTAATATTAGTGAAGTTTTTATTTCAAATTTATAATGGTAATTTTGGCGATGGATTTAATGCCCAGCATAGCCACAAATCATAATAGATTTAAAGGGATAATCCTAAAAAGCGTTGTAATTTAGGCATTATCTAATAAAGAGAATATTTAAAACTATTGACAGGGGTTACAGTATAAAACAGTAACATTATTGCAATAGAGAACAGCCTGTCATACATAGCATGGCAGACCACAGATCTCAGTGGGCCTCAGCTTTCGACGACTCCCAGTCCCTTAAGGGAATCCAAGCCGTGATTATGTTCTCCGAAGTCATCTTCCAGGATACATGGAGTGGGTTATCGTTCTCCCACTCAATGTGCAGGGAACCATGGAATAGTATGAAAGATGGCCTTGGTAATTCCAGGTGTTGTCATTGGTTATCAAGACTGAAAACTTAAAAAAATATATTATCAAAGATGACATAACACCCTAAATTGTCTATTTTGAAATCTTACTGATAAGCTATAAAACATAATAAATTGTTTGACTTTATAACACAACTTTAGTGCTTAACTATCCCATAAGCACATAGGGGGGTGGGTTGTCACACACAAGCGTATACGCTAAGGCAACCGCATCTGAGGACCTGTGTCAAAGCAACTATGTCGGATATTGTACCTAGTTACGTTATTAACTTTGTAGTCAAGTCCAAAGTAATTTCCTGCTTATCATTTCATATTATTAGTGATTTTTTTGTAATTTTAGCTGACCTGTATGTACAAAATAGGTAAATTAAATGGAGATATATATATTTTCCAGTGACAAGTGAAAAAAAGACCTTCACAAGTATGTTCATAAGTAAAATGAATGGATTTAGTTAAGCAACTAAACCGTTAGACTAATAGGGTTACAATTGCAAAGTGCTAAATAAAGTAAAGCACGATAGTAAAACTAGTAAAATAATGTATTGTGTTTGATTAAACATGTAATAAACGAGTGGTCAACACGTTTGAAACTATCAAGAAGATTATTCGAATTATCAGCTTTCTGTTGGTGAATTTGGTGATTTATTGGCCAGCATTTGGCACTTTATAAGTTCTTGAATTTAGTTAAGAACACTTTCATCCTAACGTCTCAACTGTCCCAAAAGTTATCATCAAAGTTTCTTGGAACGCATCAAACTGAACTGGACACTAATGGTATGACCTGGACCCAGGGGCGATTTTCTTTTTCGTTTTGATGTCCCCAGAGGGCAATTTCACTATATGTAAATTTGTTTAGTGTGCAGGTTTGCTGTGGTGGGGTTTTTTATTGTGTTGATTTCCCAATTGTTATGTCAATTAGTTAAACAATATTTAGGCTACATGACCATTGTAAAATCCCAAAGAATAAAAAATGTTGTAAACTACATCTAAAACATGAAATTCGGTGATGATAAAATCATACCTATAGGAAAGTGTTTATTTCTGAACCAGAATTGAGTGTTACATTACCTAACAACGATTAGTAAAGAATCATTTAAGTAGCTTTTAGCAAAATTATCCTACTAATATTAAAAATCTGAAAGTTTGGACGTATGTATGTATGTTTGTATGTTTGAGGTAAGTAAACGCAAAAAAATACTGGTCGGATTGGGCTGAAATTTAATGTGATGATAGCTCACATTCCGATTAACATATAGATGCATTCTTATCTCAAAAGTCCTTTCGCGCTCCACCCTAGTGGCTCTGGAGTTTCCCATGTTAACCTTATGAGTAATTATATTTAAAAGGAATAAAATAATTTTGTCAGCTGTTTCAACTACACATGTTGGTTCTATGATAATAAATAGCGTTAAAAATTTATAAGGCTTACCAGTAGATTGCAGCACTATTACACTTTTTTGAGTTTGAACCAACTAGAAACAAAAAGCTGTCATATACAATGAGAACTTTACTTTATCTATTGTTAAGTTGCAGTGGTAGAAAATTATGGCTATACTGTAGGAGATGTGCTATGCTATACTATAGCATACCGTAAATTAAAACAACCAAATTTTCTCAAACTATTATCTTTCATTGCAAACGCAAAGCCAAGTATAACTGCAATAAACATTTTATACTTATACGCCAACCCCCTACGAAGAACGGGTAATCTGCTAGTTAAGAATATGTCTTACTAAAATTATATTTACTACGATCAAACCAATGTGAGTGTAAGTGATTTAGAAGGGGAAAGTTCACATTATACTCTAAGGAAAAAAAACTTTGTTCGGAAAGGTTAATCAAAACGATTATAATGTTTGAGCGAAACGGTTTCCAATAATTTATATTTCAAGCTTTTAAAATGCTAACCCTCTATAACATTGCAGTTAATTGATTGGAAAATAGTCTTTGCTCTCACACCTGTTTTGCGTGTAAAATCTTTATAATAAAAAATATTTGTTTTTCTTCCGAGTTGGTTTGGCCCAATCAACCGAATCAATCTTCATAATTTTGGCCTTAAATTAAAGGTATGTACGCACAGATTTTCCATCAAGCATTGGCATTCATTAATTTTTTGTCTATTTCAATTTATTCACAAAAGTAACTTCCCCTGTACATTTCTTATGGGAATTAAATCTGGTTTTTCTTATCCGAGTTCGTTCTGTTCATTTACCCACTGATTTTCATAGTGTTAGCCTTTCTCAATTCTAACCACGTTTTCCTCTATGTTTTGATCCAAGAACCCTTTAGTGAAATACGAGATTTAATTTGAGCTATAGATTATTAAGATCGGACTTATAAAAGCACGCTGCTGAATCACGAACAACCCAAATTGTTCCTAAAATTCAGTTATTTATCATCGATTGATAGTAAAATGATTTCGCTCGAAACCTTAACAGTAACTGTTGATTTAAACGGGTTTCACTACGTGTTTACTTATAAGGGCGAAAACGCCATATCTACACATGCTCGGGTAATTTATAACCTTAGAAAAAGAAATTTACGAATATTGTATGAGCGATGCAAATTATTAAACGTATTTTTATCTTAAATAACTGTTTAATTGTTTTAAGAGGTTGAATTTAGTTTTTGCTGTCGTTAATTTTACATATACCAAATACAATATATAATGTGCCATAACGCATCCTATTGTGAAAATAATAATAATAATGATAAATAATAAATTATTACAGAATTGGTTTCAATATATTAGATGTACATAGGCATAAAGTTAATAGTGTAGAGAATAAAAAAAAATTATAGACGTGTATTATATTTAGTGTTGCATTATTATTGAAAATAATATTTTTAAGTAAATAAAACCGATAGTTAATTGTGGCAGGGTACGTTGAACTATAAAAGAGTGCTATTTGCAGATGTTAATTGACATATTAAATTCACCTATTAATATGCATAGCACTAAAGAGCTAATTAGATAACTTCTAATTGAGTTCGTGATATTTCTGTTGATGTTAATTGTAGAGTGATTATGATGTAGG